CCTTGTAAAATCTCATTTTGTAATAACAATGCATTATGTAATAATGTAATTAAATCAAGCTTCAAAATGTAATAAACTCACTAAAACCACATTATGTAATAAGTGACACAAAATGTGATAAAAGTCGTCAACACATTATGGAATAAATGTTATTACATTTTGCGGCAATTGTTACAAAACGTGTTCATGTAATAATCTGGTGCATTATGTAATATACAATCAAAAACCAGTATTTCTGTTCATCCTAATCAATATACTTTTAATAACTGTCATGTTGTAAATACTACATAATTAAATCTTTATAACTTTGGTCAATAAACACAGAACTTCTCATCACATACTGTATATGTGTGACTGGCCTCGTGTCACTTTATGTTCAACAAATTGGGCCCCGAAGTCAAAAATGTTAAGAACCCCTGTCATAAAATACAAAATGTTGACAAAACTAAAGATTGGGGGAGAAAATTGAGCCCTACAATACGAAAAAAGTGTACTATATATATATATATTATTTGTCTTTTTTTATTTAATCCAGTAGCTTACATTTAATTAAAGACTTTTCAGTTACTTTTAGGAGAACTTCAACAGGAAGGTATCACAAAACAGATCTATTCAATGCGATTCCCAGTGTAAAAGATGCAACATTTCCAAACTCAATGAAAAATCCTTTTTACTAATTGTAAGATGTGCCTGTGTTCACCTGAGTCTACGGCAGGTGCTGGTGACACACTCACCTTATAGGACGGCAGGAAACAGAGCACACCCTTGGCTGTGACCTGACAGACGTGGAGCAGCAAGGCACCCACCTCATCCTGAAAGGCAAACGTTTCTGTGTGCTGGAAGGTGGCACACAGAGTTCGACCATGGGGTCCCGCACCAACGGTTCCCACCCAAYCCTGAAGACAGTAAAAAAATGTACAGGGGAAGCTTTAACTCATAATATTTTATCAATAACAACAAATTAGTAGGTTTAGTTTACACCAACAGTTGTATTTACTGTAGTATTCTGAATTGCAACTCATCAGTAACTTCGTGAATAAAATTTGAACAAGTGACAGTGTTCAAATATTTCCTAATCTGGATTCAGTATTTGTCCAAACTAGGGCAGCAACAATGAATTGATAAAATCAATAAAAATCGATTATTAAAAGCATTGGCAACAAATTTTATTATCAATTCGTTGTGTCGTGTGATTTAAATGTCCCTTGCGGTGTCGCAGAGCCGATTATGTCACCCGCAGAGCATTGTCAATGCTGGCTGACCTAAATAAAGTTTAGGAAGAAAAAAAGCTCTACCTGTAAAGATCCACCCTCTCTGACTCTCGAGTGAAAAGCAGAGACTTCGAACTTTAAACCAGTTTTTAAATCGTGTTGTTAGGCCAAGTAGATCCAAAGTTATGATAAAAAGTATATGCCACATTTAATTTTTTTTAAAAGACTGTCTGATTTGGAAAAAAAAACAAAGAATTAGAGAAAAATCATAAAAGCTAAATGTTAATAAATTATAATTATAAT